AAGAATTCCAGTCTCTCGATGTGCAAAACTGATAGAGACATACCCCAAGTGACTTGCAGCTTTAATTGCAGCAAAAGGTGGTGCTACAAAGTATTAGCGCAAGGGGGCCGAATAATATTGCACGCCCCACTTTTCAGTTTTTTATTTAAGTTTAAATTATCCAATAAATTTTGTTCCACTTGACGATTGTGTCCCACTTGTTGTTGATTCTTGACAAAAAAAAAATATTTTCATATCTTTATGTTTGAAGCCTGAAATGTGGCAAAATGTTGAAAGGTTCAAGGGGGCCGAATACTTTCGCAAGTATAAGTACTGCTGACAAATATGTAGTTGTGTAAATAATACCTTATTTTTCATGACGCTTTACACGTCAGACACAAAGAACAAAATCATAATAAAACCAACAAGTTTGATTTTTTTGTATTTTATTTCCAGGTTCTTCTCTATGAAGCGCACACTGTAGAAGAGACCTGTGTCAGAGGTAGATGCCCTGGACTCTGCTGTTGCTCCTGCTGTTGCTCCTACTCCTGCTGCTCCTCCGGCACCTGCTGCTGTTGCTCCTCCTCCTGCTGCTGCTGTTGTTCATGACTGATGATTAAATAAAACATGAAAAGATGTTTGTTGTGGTTCATATTGTAAATCCGCAGTGAAGCTGGAGGTGATGGAGGTGAAGCTGGAGAAACCATGGTGTGTGATTTTGTTGCTGTCAGAGAAAGTCAGAGTTCCGTTTGTGTTGTCCGTATGATGTTTGTGTTCTCTGAAAAAGAACACAAACATCATATTAAAACATGGACACCACAAAATAAAAGAGAAATCCTTCCTGCATTTAATATTAGAGGTACAGTACAAGCTTTCACAGCAGGAGAAACAGACATTCTGAGGAGTAACAGAAGAAAAATATAATAGAAATATACACACAAATAACCAACTTATAAGCTTGGCTAACCACTTTAAACCTGTTGTTGTGGAAGTGAGAGTCATCTGTCTTTTATTAATGACAAAGAAACATCTGTATATTGTGCTACTGTAAATATACAGTATTTCCTGTCTAAGTATGGGATTATAAATGATATACACAATCTATTTTATATTAATACAGATAACACATGTTGGCATACTAGAGCTGCTGTCTCCATGGACTCTTTTTCCATGAAAACGTAACCGTTTCCTCAGTGTAGCTTTACCACTACACTGAGTGCTGCCCCTGGGGGTGGCTCCTCTGGACCAACCATTGAGGAAGTCGACTAAGCGTTCAAATGCCACTACCTTCAAGATGCTTCTCCCTAAAGATGACATTACAGATTTTGCGCGGAGAAGTATTAACGATTGTGAAAAGTTTAAACAACTTACCCGAGACACCAACCTCCTCCATTTCTGTCACGGAAGTTATAGTCCACGGGGATAACGAGCACAGCTTGTCCTCCATAGCTGATTTGTTGTCTTCCTGTCTTCCCCCTCTGTCTGGTCGTGAAATGCGTCACTACATCACTGTTGCAGAAAGCTCCTGATTGGTCGACGCTCGCGTATTCGTCCAAAAAGTTCAACAATGTTCAACTCTAGTGTTGGCTGAGTTGGAGGCGCGGGACGCGCGCCAAAACGCTTGAATCCGTGTATCATTCGTTCTTTTGATTTTCTAAATAAAACCAACATTGAAAAAACGAATAACAAGGGATGTTTTTGATTCTCAATATTTGAATTTAATGCAAAATTGAAATATTGGTTTGTTTTTTTGTTTTCTGTGGATCCAATTAAAACGAAAATGCAGTAAACCAATAATGACCGTCTAAATTACATTTTGCGATTTTCCTTTGAAACACAAACGTCCCCCGGAAGTGATTCGAAAGTGCGCGTTTGTCACGAGACCAGGAAGTGTCGCCTCCAGGTACTTGGATCGCACCTTGTTAGCGCTGGTTGTAGGAGAAATGTCTCTTAAAACTCTCCTCAACATCAGTCAAATTACCAGCTTTTTCGTTCGCTGCTGCAGAGACCATCGCAGATGAGAATTCTCAGATTCACGAGAGAAGGGGTTCTTCGATGAAAAATATATACACAAGTGTCAAGGTAAGACATAACTTAGCAACTAGCGCTAACAGCTAAGTTAGCGTTAGCTACGACACATTTAGCTTAAGCACATACATGAAACACACATGTAACAAATGCACCTAATGTGGGTGCTTTATTATTATAAATGTATGTTATAGACTTTCATATTATATAAGAACATGATATGTTTGTGTATTGGTGAAAGTAATCATGCTAAATTTTAGTAAATAAAAGATGATGCTAGATGTACCCTAACCATTCAATTGTGCTTTGTTTCTGCTTCATTCTCAATTATTGTCGAGGGACAGTAGTTAGAGCTAGATGCTTCAGGCTTATGAAGAGAAACGAGGAGCCCTCAGACAGCAGGTTTGAAACAGTCAGAAAGACTGTAGGTTTGAAACAGTCAAAGCCGCTGGGCTCATGTTCAGCTTGAGTTCCTGTCCTGATAGAAGACTAGCATAGCATCTTTCTGTTTGGTGGTTACTATTTCTCTTCTGCTGACTTTATAAGATAGTTAAGTTATAACAAGTAATAATTATATGTCTGTTCTAAACCCACTTTTCTGTTTTAGATCTCACTGGGTGTGCAGCAGGTAAAGGTTTCAGACTTCACACTACTCCCAGCCTTGGCCTGTACCAGTGATCTGCAAAGCTCTCCAGCTGGTCCTGGCCTGTACCAGTGATCTGCAAAGCTCTCCAGCTGGTCCTGGCCTGTACCAGTGATCTGCAAAGCTCTCACGCTGGTCCTGGTCTGTACCAGTGATCTAGCTCTCCAGCTGGTCCTGACCTGTACCAGTGATCTGCAAAGATGGATGTGTTTATGTCAATGCAATAAAATTAATAATAACTGATCTACAAATCTCCTTTTTGTTACTTTACATTTTAAACTTTCAACTCGTGTTTATCATTGTACATGTATGTTACAAAATTAGAATCATTGCATGAAAAAGCACGTACTCATCAGTGTACATTATGTTCTGTCACATTTGAAAGTGTAAAAACTGTTCTTAAATCCAGTTGTCCTGGTCTTAATGGGCATTACACACGCAGTGACTTCAGATAGAGATGTAAACTGTATGGTCAATCTAACATGCTGGTTATGAAGTCTAACATGTGTTCTGTGAATGTAAAAACCTCTTTGTTCCAGTCTTTTTGGGCTCCTTTATTCACAGACCAACTGTGGCAGAGCTACAAGCAGTCAGTCTGCAGAGGTGAACAGTTTCCTATGGCTCAATGAGGATGCTGCTGAAGATCCCAGACACAGTCGTCCAGTCAGATGTTTGCTGAGTGCAGGGTGCGCTCCTTTCCTACGTCACTGCTATTATCGGTTCATGTGTAGAGTCATGATGGTACCTAATAGTACTGTACAGTCCCTGGTTTGCCCTTACATTAGCTCAAGTCAGGTTCACTTCTAAACTTGAGTCACTGGCTTCTTTGTTTGTGTGACTTGCTGTAAATATGTGATTATGTGTCTTTTTAACACAGCTTTTTTTTTTGTATTGTTCTTTCATTCTTAGCTCTGGATCCTGTTCTTGCATGTAAGTCCTTAGTAAAGTCTAAATAAAATTGGACCCATGTTGCTGCTGAAAGGAAGTCTGAGGTGTAAGCTGTTCTGTAAAGGTACATTCAAATACACTGTCATTTTACAGTCTTGTTTAGTTAAGAATGTCATTTCCTAATTCATAAATCTATTGATACATAATCCTACTGTAATAGTTTAGTATTTGTTTTAACGGGTTTTCCATTGCGATTCAACACAATTTAGAAAAAAAATGTACAGAATTGTGTCCAAGTGTGTTTTAATTTGGGAACAAACTAATCAAAAATATTTACACTGGAACAGACACACAGAAGATTTACATACATGATGAATTTAGTCTTTGGCCTTCATAATTTGCCAAAACACAACAAGCTGTGATTCCTGAGCCTCGGGAGACAGAATCCCTCTTGAATGTTGCAATAAAATTATTCCAGGAAAAAGAGATGGGGCAGCAATAGTTTTAAGGCGGCTGATATGTAAAAAAAATATATATATATGTATGTATATACTGGGCAAGAACATGATCCATGTTTAATGAATACATTTACTCAGAATACCTTTCTGTGAGCCCTATACGATGAAATAACGCCACTTCAAAAAGTTTGCTTTCGTGATTAAACACTGTATCAAAAAGAAGGGACATGACTCAGCTGATGACTTGACATTTGGACAAACCTAGTCGGTGTAACGTGGTTGATATTTCTGCACATGTTTGAATGTTTTAGAACCATTCTATCGCTGTATCTGCAAAGTCTTCCAACGCACCCATCATTTACTCCACTGTTTACCTGCGGGGTGCGCACTTGCGAATCACTTCCGGGGGATTCTTGTGTTTCAAATGGAAATCGCAAAAAGTAATTTAGACAATCATTATTGGTTTACTGCATTTTCGTTTTAATTGGATCCACAGAAAACCAAAAACAAACCGATATTTCAATGTTGCATTAAATTCAAATATTGAGAATCAAAAACATCCCTCGTTATTCGTTTTTTCAATGTTGGTTTTATTTAGAAAATCAAAAGAACGAATGATACACGGATTCGCTTGAAATCTCAAAACGCGACGCGCAAATCTCTCGACGCTCCTCGAGGCACGTGCCCCATGTATTTTCAATGCAAACCCAAAGCTTTGGACGAGTTTGGTCTGAAGGCAGTATCATGCATTAAGTGTGCGCAAGTGTGCTCCGGAGCTTCCCTGCACGGAATTGGCCTTTGCTCCCCAAGTATTGGGACACCCTACATCCCCCGCGGGCACGCACAACATCTAGGGTGTGGGTACAAACTAAGGGCTAGGGTGAGATTTGGGATGGGGCTTACCACACACACACACACACACACACACAGAGGCTAGCACACACACGCACAAACACACCCACACAACTGTTAACGGTCTGTGGTGCTGTAGTTCTGACTGTTACCGGTCTATGATGCCGTAGGCCTCCTCAGTTCCGATTATGCACAGGGCGTTAACAGCTGCGTAGGTCGGGGCCAGGTGGGCGTGTTGTCCCGGACCTCCAGAGAAGCCCCCAGTTGGGCTCTGACAGCTGGAGAGGAAGTGACACACACTAAGGGGGGAGGGGGAAGAGTGAGAGAGAGAGTGAGAGAGTGAGAGGAAAGATCGGGGGAGAAAGAATTTTTACAGTGTTGCAGATTCCAGAAATGCAGCACACGTTGTGTTGTAGAATTAAAATTTTGTATACTAATGATCATTAGGTGTTTGCATAAAATGTCTTTGTGCAATATTTAGCCTGAGTTTAGTGAATTCAGGGAAGACTCAAGGACAAGGTTTCTGTGATATAAGTATCATTTTCAGGAACAGCGTGTCTCTTATAGGAACAAGGCCTGAGACACAAAACTGAACTAGACCAGACCCAGACAAGGGCCTCTGTTTGTCTCACCATATGACGTCATCGGACATTTTGATAAAAGTAATGGTGGGACATTTTGTTAGCAGTCTGAGTGGGATAGATAGACAGAGGGAGTCTCAGAGCGCCTGGGTGTTCTCTGTACATTTTCAGGCCTGGAAGGGACAGTTAAAATGGCTCAGCATAGGGTTAGTTATAGGGAATTAAAAGCTCCAGGAGTTTTGTATCCATATTTAATTGTAAAGACAATTAAATGTTATTCTATTTTTAACTCTTATGCTTGGTCTTATTTCTGTATCAATTTCGGACACGTCCGTCATATTTTTTTGACAATAACAGATATTATACAAGAAAATGTATTTGATAAAAGGCTATATGACCAAGATGTCCGAAACAATAATAACTACAGGATTCACTTTCAAACTGTAGAGAGGTGCACTCCAGAATATAATTCACAGTGGTGAGTCAAGGCAAGTCAAGTGTTAATTGAATCATTATTTAAGTTTTTTATTTATTTTTTCTTTATTTAAAGTCTTACTGTTGAATCTGTAAAATGTTACAATGGCTGACAATTTTAAAATATACTTCATAGGAATGGAACCTTTGTCTTTTTTTGATGAATACTTAGGCTTACTAAGTAGTCTACTACTACTACTACTACTGCTACTGTGTAGTGTTGGTCATTTGTGGTGGTAGATGAAGAGGCAAGCATTTTCTGAGGTACTTGGTGTAAAAGGTTTGAGAACCACTGGTCTACACGGTGTGTGAAAACAATAGCCCGGATTCCACCGCAGGAGTTCCTGGTTTTACCAGGAGCGTGTGGAACTTTTACAGGAATCGTCCTCTCCCTCGGTCCTCTCAGTGGCTGTGTCTCCACTACAGAGTAGGACCAATTGGCGACATCACTGAGTTTCGATTGCCGCAAAAGCGAAACTCATTTAGCCAAACCCATTTGTTTATTTTTACGGCCGTAACCACTCCGGTTGTTGTGGCCTTTGAGTTTTTTATAGTCCTGCTCCAGTTTTTTAAAACTTTTCACAACTTGTTTTGGATTGTGATGAATCCCCAGTGCTTCGAGGTGAAGCTAATATGTCTTAATATCAAACCCCGTCTGAATCCTGCAGTGCTGTGTTAGTTGTTTCCAGTGTCTGCTAGGCTAATGCTGTGAAGACCTGTAATAGGATGTTGTGTGTCAATGAAGACCTGTATTGGACTTACTCTGAAGCCACGCTGCAAGGGACGGGCTCCTCCAGAAGTTCCAGACTATGAAGAATCCAGAAGCAAAGCCACGGCCTGCTGGCATCCAAACACTGCACCCACAGAGACAGAAACACACAGAAACATACACACACAGAGACACGCAGAAACACACCCAGCCTCAGTACATATGAATCTTCCATTTACTTAAATTATAAAGCACATTTTATAAAACCGGTTTCCAAATATATAATGATCATATACAGTGTTTCCACCAGGAATTTATTTGAGGGGTGAACCGCAAGGTGTGGGGGGGGGGGTGTCGAGGTCTGACGGCACCGAAAAAAAAATTCACCCACGTTTATTGCGGTGATTTTTGTTAATTCTTGTCAGGAGTTTGTAAAACACCTGCGCAGAGGCGCGAAGCAGGAGCCGTACTTCTGAGCGGAGCCAGTGCAGAGCCTAGCCAGAGGTCTTCAGAGATCAGAGAAGTATTTGGTACTGGCTCACTCAGATTCAGAGGAGGAAGACATGCAGGTGTCCAGTGAAGCAGACACAGACATTATTAATGACAGGAGTCCGCGCCATAATTGTCCACAGTCAGCTACAGTTTACGTCCTCCGTGTGGCCATCGCGGTAAAGAGGTCAAAAGTGGCCAAAATGACGTGCGCTGACATGCTTGCAATACCACCCCGGGCCGATGGGGGTGGACCCGGAATAAGAATTATCCAATGCTAACATATAGCATCTTCTTACATCTCGAAAACGTCTTTACAGGATGGTCCAAAAGTTGGCTCTTGGCCCAAAGCTCCGTTCCACATGTGTGTCAATGCTGAGGGGAGTGAATTTTTTTGGACCAGTCGAGTTTACTCTCTGTAAATTTTTGAAGTCTCTCGTTTAAATGAATGGGGCTTGTGCCGGCTGACCCATGCACAGATGCGTTTTTTCACAATTTTCCTGTGGGTGGGACCACTCGCGGCCATTTTGGATAGCTCCAGTAGAGCACTATTTTTGGCCCATTTGTTTGAACGGCGGAGATAGGCGTGACCACGTCCGTTAATATTTACAGTCCATGGGTTAACCTCAAGTCCCACCAGGTTACAACGGAGTACCTAGCATGGAGGAGGGACTCCGTTGGGCCCCCGTAAAAGTTCGTGTAAACGGCCCTGTGGGGGAAGTTCCTGCAGTGGAGACACGCACCTGGGGCACCTGGGGTTGGCCCTGGAAGATTACCCTGGAGTTCCTGCGGTGGAAACGCGGCAAATAACAAGACATACAGGCTGTAAAAGTAATTTTGAAATTTGCATGTCCCGGTTGAACTACTGTTATCAGTAAAATACATATTTGAAACGACCATGATTTAATTATGTCTTTTGACATATTAGGGCCATTAAGATTATGACTTGAATCAGAATTGATTCTGATTCTGACATGCAAAAAATACATATTGCTGCTTTAATACCACAGAATATAGCAATTGACCATCAAATCTGGCATCTACAGTGGGACAAAAAAAGTATTTAGTCAGCCACCAATTGTGCAAGTTCTCCCATCAAAAAGATGAGGGAGGCCTGTACTTTTCATCTTAAGTATACCTTAACTATGAGAGACGGAATGAGAAAAAAAATCCAGAAAATCATATTGTATGATTTTTAAATTATTAATTTACAAATTATGGTGGAATTTAAGTATTTGGTCAATAACAAAAGATCATCTCAATTAGTTTTATACCATTTGTTGGCAATGACAGAGCTCAAACGTTTTCTGTAAGTCTTCACAAGGTTTTCACACTGTTGGTATTTAAGGTGTGCTGCTCATTGTAGCACCAGGGGTTTTGGGTGGGTTTTTAGCAAGTATGGTTTGTCTGCTTGATTTAGTTACTTGTAATGTTAAAGGTCTGAACCAGCCTATAAACAGGAAAAAGGCTCTTACTCATTTGAAGAATCTTGGTGCAGGCATCCCATTTAGTCAAGAAACTCATCTTAAGACCTCAGATAACGCTCGTTTAAAAGGTGGATGGGTGGGACAGCTTTTTCACTCAAATGTTCAAGGTAAAGCCAGGGGTGTTGCTATATCAATAAATACAAAAATTTCCTTCACCCAATCCTCTGTGTTGGCAGATTCTAATGGGGGGTATGTGATAGTCACAGGAATGCTTTATAATACCAATCTTGAGTTGGCCATATATGCCCCAAATTGTGGCAATCCTAAAAAAAAATTCACGCCTTTTCAGGCTCATGCCTTGCCTTAATTCTCACTTGCTCATTATGGGAGGAGACTTTAATCTCTGTTTGAACCCTGGGATTAACAGATCGTCTGTCAGACTTGGGTATCCATCATCTAAATCCGCTGCTTATGTAAAGACCTTTTTGTCATCCTATGGCCTCTCTGATATTTGCCGTTTTTTTTACACCCTCAGGACAGACAATATTCTCTTGAGCAGAATTGATTATTTTGTTGTTGATAATAAAGTGTCCACAAACGTTCAGTCGTGCGATTACCAGGCTATAGTCATTTCTGACCATGTACCCCTTTCATTGAAATTCAAACTGCCTGAAGTCGTCTCTCCCAGGCGGCTGTGGAGATTTAATCCTCTTGTGACGATAACTTTACCAAACTTATTTAGGATGAAATCTTTTTTTCTGGCGATTAATTTGACCCCGGATGTCTCAATTTCTCTTTGTGGGAGGCCCCCCAAGGCCTATTTGAGGGGACAAATCATCTCTTTTTCTGCCAATAAGCGGGAGTCTATTTCTAGGCAAAAATATTTAGAAAGGGAATTTGCTAATTTTGACAGTAAGCACTCTTCGAACCCATCTCAAAATACCTACAAGGAACGTCTGAGGGTGGGTGCTGAATATGACAGACTTACCTCTCAATCAATAGAATATCTACTTCTTAAAAATAGAAGTAATATATATGAACATGGGGATAAATCAGGGGAGGTGACAAGACAAGTGAAAGCTGCAAGGGCTAAACAGACCATCAGTGGGGTAACCTCCCAGGGCGGTAGTATCGTTACAGACCAGCAAGCTCTAAAATTATGCATTCAAACTCAACTATGATAGCTTGTACATGTCTGATAATACTTGCAACAATAGCCTTCTTTCAGACTTTTTTACGGATCTGCAAATCCCATCTGCATATCCCATCCCCGTCTCCAGAGGACGTCTTGGACGCTCCTATACAGCAGCGGAAGATCTTGGCATCAGTTAATCTGTTGCAGTCATGGAAGTCCCCTGGCCCTGCAGCTTCAGACCTCTGTGTATGGCGCTTCTCCAGCACTCGTGGATAGCACTAATGTAATCGTCAGAGTTTTCGGCTCTGACTTTTTTCTATTCCGGGAATGGGGGCTGCGTGAGCGGATAAATCGCGGTCCATACACTGTAAAAATAAGCAGCCTTAAAGTGATTGTCTGGAGTTTGTCAGAAAGAGAGACAGAGAGGTACTTTAGTTGAAAAAAACGACGCAAGCTCCCTCCCCCTTCCTTTCTGATTGGTCTACACCTACATTTCCGTGACACTTTTAAATGTTAATCAGAGAACACATTATACATATACATTATCAATACACATGCACGGAGGTTTTCAGAATTATTAACGTTTTAATGGAAAAAATAATGTTTTTATGCACAAAAAAACCAATCGCCTTCAAACCTGGTAGTGCTATTATCATGAATTGCACATTATAGGACACATCTGCAGAGGATCTGATTATGGATATAGGGTCAGTATATACATAAGTACCTCAGCGCAGATGCTCAGAATTTTTTGTTCAGTTTTCATGTTGTTCCAGAGCCTAATAGAGGCTTTATTCGGAGGCTCCGCGAAAACAAACAACTGAGCATGCGCAGAGCTGCGAGCATCAGCGCCGATGATTGACAGCCCTTGGCATGACTCGATTGGTTAACCTCGGCGGCACCGTGGATTCTGAGCTATAGCTAAGAGAGGGGAAGGCGGGACTTGCCCGTAATATTAGAATTATTAAAATGACTTATTTTATATCAACATTTAAGGCCAGGAGGTCAATTTAACACATTTCCTAAAATTTGTAAATCATTTAGAGTTACAGACTATCACTTTAAGTAGGTGACATACATTACCTCATACGCCTCGGAGAGGTGCCGCAAGCCTTTCTTTAGATACTGGTAATGCTGCTGTCGGAGTAACATGGGCCTGAAACACACGCACACACACAAATAGACACACACGTTTTTTCTATTTTTATTAGAACCATCTCAGAAATGTAAACATGTGGAAATTTTATCTGATCATCTACAACCAAGCCTTATGTCTATGTTACAGGTCTTTACTCTTGCTGTTAAGGATCCTACTCCACCTAGGGCCTTTCCTCTGAAATTACAGGCCTTTACTTTGACTGTTACAGGTATTTGACTGATACAGGTCTTTACTTTGACTATTCTGACTCTGACAGGTCTTTGACTGTTACGCAAGCACACAGTGCAATTTATCTTATATTTTTAAAAAAAATATATATATATATTATATATATATATATATATATTTAGGGCTGTCAAAATAATCGCGTTAACGCACGTTAATAAAAAAAAATCATTAATTGCGCGATTAACGCATGCCCATGCACATAATAGCACTCAGAATGCCGCGGACACATTCGTGTGTTGTGTAATATGGTGACAGAGCAGGTAGGCCCTCTGGGAATCCAATACACACGTGACCGTGGCGCACTTTTACTGCTGTTTCCTGTATGAACTCTGCAAGCTGAGCTGCGTGCGCTCTGGACAGCAGTTCCCACCTCCAGCGGCTGTGATCACGGCGAACAGCGCAGCTTAACGCCATATCCAAGACCATACACGCACAGAACTATTCTTTGCTTGTAATGTGCGTACGTGTCTTTGCGTAACCGGTGCACACAATATATACAGCGCTGAAGCTGGACTACGGAGCCTCAGTCTCCTCCGTGTCTTCTCCCGAAGCGCACTCGCTAAATTAAAGCTGGGGTACCTAATTTTCCCTTCCACTACCAGTTCATGTTGGTTGTGTCAAAAAAAGTAATGGTGTGAGCAAATCAAACAAATTTAATGACATTCTTCATTTCAGACTGTTTTGAAATGTCCCTCATCTGTAACAAACAATAGTTTTGGTCTTAGTCTACTACAGAAAGACAGAATGTTAATAATGTTAATGCCATTTTATATGGATTTATTGTACATATACATATGCAGGGCTCAACATTAAAGCCTAGTGTATACTCGCGCGGAGCTTACGGAGGTGACGTGACGTAATTTGCGCAACGCGTTGGTCACCGCAAGGCCCTTACGTTGCCTGCCGCGCAGCATCAACATTTTCTAACTACGCAAAGAAGCTCTGCTGTGATTGGTCCGCGTGTGCGTTTTGGGCTGAAGCATGAAGCGGCTGCAGCAGGGACAATGGACGAGGCACTATGGAGCAGAGAGCTATGCTTCGACGGAAACGAAGGAAAAGCAGTTTGGGCTCAGAGCCTGATATACGGGGAGACTGTGGACTATATAACTTATAAACTGTGCAGTCGTTTGTTTTGCACTGTTCCCGTCTTTGTTTGAATCTGCACTCGTAGCTTATCGCGTCTGTTGCGTTCCTCCTTTTACTTTTAAATCGTTCATATTTGCCTCAGATATTTACTTATTGTTTTGCTGTTTGTGCTGAATACAAATTAATAACTATGTTTCCAACAAGAACGGTGTCTTTATTCACAACATCACAGTTAGATGAGTTAAGAAATAATGAGTCCATAGAACTATCACATAAACCTACAGTAGAAACACATGTAATGAGCTCAAACAGCTCGGTTTGTTCATGTTTTTGTTCTGAAGAGGAGAAAGAAGCAGCGTAAATGAGACCGCTTTGGTATCTCAGGCAACTCCTGTGAGATCGCCATCATGTGGTTGGTTGTGGAATTACAACATTCTCCTCAAAACTCCGCAACGAGTATAAACACAAATGTGCTTGCGGAGCAAGTAAAGATTTGGGACGGGCAAGTGCGATGTTTTAACTCTATTTATTTTACTTTAAGTAAGTATTACTTTAACGCATTCAGGCTGGGAATACATTTCTTCATCTGGAGCCGGGACTGGCTCTGTTTATCTTTTTTTGACTAATTCTCTTCATTGGTAAATTTTCTGGATCAATGAAATGCATCTGGATAAACCAGGAATTAAAATGTTCCGCAGATCCGTGATTTACACGTCATTTATGTTAAATGTGTGACTGCGGGAACTTTGTTATTTGCATTACATACTCGAACGGCATTCACATCCTCCGTTCTGAGCCCAGGGCAGCGGTGGCCGCTTTGTACAATAGGGCACTGTCCGGTTTCCAAAATGTGCTAAAAATAGCTCCGATGACTGCGCATGCGCGCATGTTTCGGACAAACATTTTACGACTCCGTTGAGTACTACTGTGTTCTCCACATACGCGTGTGTATTTATTTGGGCTAAGTCATTGAATCATGGTGACAACAAAACACTGCAGTTATGGTGTTTGTCGGAGCAATTTCAGATACTCTGAAAAGGACAATGAAAGTAACATTCAACCCGTTCGTTAAACCACACCATCGGACCAGACCAGGACCAGACCAGGACAAGTGCAAGAGGTGGGTGCTTGTGGTCGGCAGAATTTCTCTCATGAAAATGTTAAAAGGACTCATATTTGTTCAAAACACTTAGTCTGTGAAGCTGGACCAACTGTGGAGCATCCAGATCCAGTCCTAGCTACGTTTAGCTGGGACTGGACCTAGACCGCTGTATCAAGTTCGTCTGAGCTCTTCTGAATGTAGTTAGCACAAACTTTCTCTTTATACTATTTACCCCCATCAATCCATATTAGTATTGTTTGTCCTAATCCAGAATGTATACAATTCTCACACCTGAAGAAAGATGAGGGATTTTTTCAACTTCGTGACTATCGGAAAATAAGTACAGATGAAGCGCATCGTGGTCCGCTTATTATATGGCTTTGTACCAAGTGAACACACAAAATAAACTTCAATCACTTGTATTAATGCCGAAAGGTTTATTTAATGACTGCAAAGAAAATAGTTCCCAAAGGTTTTCCTGTGGCAGGCGAGTAACAGTGAGGCTAGTTAACCTACTTCAAAAAAGCAATCGCTTTAAGCCTAGTTTATACTCGCGCGGCGCGGAGGTGACGTGACGTCACTTGCGCAACGCGTTGGTCACCGCAAGGCCCTTACGTGGCCTGCCGCGCAGCATCGAAATTTTCTAACTACGTAAGGGTCGCCGCAAGGAAGATACGCTGTGATTGGTCCGTGTGTGTGTGTATTGGAAGGAAGCATGAAGCGGCTGCAGCAGGGACATGGACGAGGCACTATGGAGCAGACTGCTTCACGCTTCGAAGGAAAAGCAGTTTGGGCTCAGAGGCTGATATACAGGAGACTGTGGACTATCTAACATATATATAACTTATAAACTGTGCAGTCGTTTGTTTTGCACTGTTCCTGTCTTTGTTTGAATCGTAGCTGCGTTTGTTGCTTTCCTCCTGCACTCGTAAATCGTTCATGTTTGTCTCAGATATTTACCACTATTATTGTTTTGCTGTTTGTGCTGAAAACTATTTAATAATAACTTAAATAAATAAGTTTCCAACAAGAACTGTGTCTTTATTCACAGCATCTCAGTTGAAATTACTTATAAAATAATTAATCCATAAAACTATCACATAAACTTGCAGTAGAAACACGTGTAATGAGCTCAAACATCTTTGTTTGCTATTGTTGTTCTGAAAAGGACAAAGTTGCAGCGTAAATGGGACCACTCCTGTGTGATCGCCCTCATGTGGTTAGTTGTGGGATTACAACATTCTCCTCAAAACTCCGTAAGGGGAACGCGCCATTATAACATCAATTGTGCTTACGTAGGTCCACCGCAACCGCTAACGTAAGCCACGCCGCGCAAGTATACACTAGGCTTAAGTCGCATTAAAATGTATTTTTGTCATGAAAACCTTAACAGATACTTCTGAAAACCTTCGTGCACGTGTGTTACGAATGTATGTATAATATATTCTCCCATTAACATTTAAATGTGTTGATTGATTGTCATTTGTGTTTACTGAGTGTGGCTAGCTCCGATAGTTTCTCTCTGCAGAGACAGTAGTGGCGTAGCCCGTTGTGACCCCATGGATATATTATAATATCGGCTCATTCGGCTGACAGTAACTAACAGCTAGATGATCAAACTAAATACATGGATAGTGCAAAAAAAAAAAAACTTGATAAATGGAAGTTAATCACAGCAAAATAAACAAAGAAGGCACTAGCATTGCAATTTAAATGACAAGATAATGTTAGCATAATCCTCACCATTACCTTTTTATCAATTAAAACGTTCTACCAGTCACTGGAAGACCACGACATTCAAGCCAACGTTTTAATTGGTCTATACTATGATCCCAGATGGTTTGATGGTGGAATTTTGCTCCTGGTATATCATTTTCGTCTAAAGTGACAAGTGGTATTTGATTCATTCCGGCAGTGTTTGTTCGAAACATGTGGGCGGGAGTTGACAGGCGGCGGGGGCGTGTCTTAGTGACGTCATTTAGATAGTTCGCTATAGACGCCACGGACAGGACCATTGACGCCGCGGACAGGACCATTGACGCCGCGGACAGGACCATAGACGCCGGCGGACAGGACCATTGACGCCGCGGACAGGACCATAGACGCGAGGGCACGACCATAGACGCAAGGGCACGACCATAGACGCAAGGGCACGACCATAGACGCGAGGGCACGACCATTGACGCCGTGAACAGAACCATAAACGCGAGGGAAGAACCATAGAAGCGCAGACAGGAGCATAGACGCGCATTCAAAACCATCCCAGTTTGTTGCAAGTGCGGTATCCACCTGGTCTCCCCCCGAAGAGCAACCAAACTCACAAAATTAAAGCTCGGGTACCTAAATTTTACCCATGCATTTAACAATGCATGTTGGTTGTGCACCTATGTAAAATGTTGTGAACAAATCTAATTGAACACACCACAAGTGTCTTGTTTTTTATTTTGCATACTTAAGAGCCCTGGGAGTCATTATTTGACTTTTTGGTTAGAGAGTGGTGTTTTTATATATTTTTCCACACATTTAGTGCCGCTTGATTGCCAAACTCTTGTTAACTCATTGTATTGAGAAATTTTTGGGC